AAGCAAAACTTGCTATATTTTGATTTGTTTTCCCATTAATGGAATCAGAATAGAATATATTTTTGATTTTAAGACAATTGCAAGTCACATTTTGAAATGCTTACTGCATTATAAATCATGTGACTTCATTTCCCAAGATGATAAATGGTCTTTGGCCAACTTGTGAAATGTATTTATATCTTTTCATGATTCCCTCATTTGATGTTTTGTTTTATGTCCCTGATGGCAAATTGAGCTTGTGCCTGAAAATGCACTTGTAAGTAACTTTACCCTTTTTACTAGGTAGACTAGCCCATTTAGTTATACAAACATGCACAGAAAAATAAGAAATAAAAACAAGGGTTGAAATCTTCATCAAAGTTTTTGTTTTTTATCATTTTTGTTAGACAAAATGTCAATTGAAACTAATTCTAGTATCTTGTCAAAATTTAGCAGTAATTATCTATCTCAACTTTACCTCAATTAAACCAGCAATCTCAAACAGAAATTTCTCTAGAAGTCTAGGGGTGACATGTAATAGGCTATTAGAGAATTAAACTAAACATTTGGATTGAAATAAGAAAACAGTTCTAGTGTCCTGTGAAAATAGAAGTCAGATGGCATGTCCATCATACTGAAATCAAGCACCTGCTAGTAGAACAAAATCAAATTGAATCTATTTTCTTAGGAATGTCACTTCCAGATAAAAGATTAAGAAAAGTACCTGATTTAAGTATCAAAAAGCATGAATATTTTTAACTTTCAAATGTTAATAACACATTTTTGTCAGACAAAAGACTTGATGATTGTTATTAACAAATCCTTTCTTGCCAGGCGCCCAGCACTTTGGGAGGCTGAGGTGGGTAGATCACGAGGTAAAGAGATCGAGACCAACCTAGCCAACATGGTGAAACCCCATCTCTACTAAAAATACAAAAATTAGCTGGGCATGGTGGCGCACGCCTGTAGTCGCAGCTACTCAGGAGGCTGAGGCAGGAGAATTGCTAGAACCCTGGAGGTGGAGGTTGCAGTGAGCCAAGATCGTGCCTCTGTGCTCCAGCCTGGCACCTGGCAACGGAGCAAAACTCCGTCTCAAAAAAAAACAAAAAAACAAAAAAACAAATTGTTTCCATTGTGATCAATATTATACATTTGTTTATTGACAGAAAGTCACTGAGAAGTGAATAGAGATGCTGTTTTTGTAGTTGTTGTTATTGATGCTGCTGCTGCTGCTGCTGTTGTTTTGTTGACCCCTGAGTCAAGAGTATATGAAGACAGCACTCAGGAAGAGTAGACAACACTCACTGGGAGAATTTGACATATACTATGGTTTCTGTATTGTTTAGATAGTAATGATGGTTTCTTAAAAACCCACCCTAACATTCTGAGGCTTTGTACGTCCACACATCCCATCCTACTTCACTCTGTAAATCAAAATAAGAGAAAAATTTGAAGTTTAAAGTCATAGTAGCTCATTAGCAAATTCTATGATGTATAGCAGTTGTCTCAACCTGTTCTTCTCCTGTCCCTGTACTATATACTAGTTACCTTTCACTATACCAGTGAAAGAAGATGTAACTTAAAGACTATACTCTCTTGTTAATCAAGTAAAAACTACTGAATGCCCTGTACATTTCCAAGGTTATGCTGATGTAGCAGGTAATACGCCAGGAATTGAATAAGTCTATACATTTCTTTTTGTGTCTTGTGCTTCCATCTTTTGTAAGTAATATGTACTTACAAAATAAGTACGTACTGTAAATAACTTAAGAGGCCTCCTAAGGTATTACGTAATTCCTGTTCACTAGTGATTAACCACTTCTGTGATTTCCTGGGCAAATTAATTAATTATTAATATATTAAATCAGCACTTTTTTATACTATTAGATTCTTATTTCATACGTGTTTACTACAAAAATGTATGCAGAAAGTAAAATACATTCATAAAAAGTGATCAACTGTTCAGCTTGAGCCCTGCACAATCTGCATGTTGTGTGCAAAACAAATTAGCATTTCTCAAAGCCACAAATCTTGGGGTAGGGTATTAAAAATTTGGAACACCAACTTTCATGTAGATAATTATTTCTAAGTATATTTGCAAGTTAAAAAGGAATAACTGGTAAAACATTAAAAATAAACATGAGGAATATAATCTTTGACCACAAATTTCTTTTTATCTGATCTTTATTCAGATATGAACGTAATATTTTTTTCAATTTCCCTTTTATTATTTGTTTTATTTTAAATTATTATTTATATGATATAAATACTGTAACATTACAATTAATGTATTATTTAATAATATAATTCTATAATATGGTTATTTTATTATTTATGTATTATCTATATTCATTTTACTGTAATACTCATATAGTAATATGAAAAGATAAATCAAAGCCAATGAGGTTAGCACCATGGACAGTAGGAAAAGTTGATTAAGACTCTTTATTATGGCTCTGAGATAAGCTATGTGAAAGAGAGTAAGTCCGGTATCTTTTGTGGTCCCAATTTGTAAAGAAAGGTACTGGATGAGGTGATAACTAAAGTTTTTTCATCTCAAATAGTCTACCATGTTTTAAAAATAGAAAACAATATAATCCATTTTTTAATTAACGTAATGAATTATAATAATTATCCAGAATTTTTGATTGGAACAAACTTCTTATAATTTTATGCTGACCTAGAATGTTGGGATATAAAGGCCCCAAGGGCAAGCTTCCGTTTGAGCCAAGGCTAATATCAATGAAAAAAACAATGTAACTTCCCAGATAACTACTTTTTGGAATAGTGCAGTTCTAACATAAATTAATTTCTTTCATCAAAAGCCTTTTATTCTCAGCCAAATCCTCTTTAAAATGTCATTGCCTGAGGAGTGTGGGTAATTCTGAAAGGATCATGAAGATAAACTGTTCTTGATACTTACAAAGTGTGACAATGATATTTTAATATGGAATGAATACCTCCAAGCATTTTCCTTAATTTGTGTAATGTGTGTATTTTTCCTTTTAAATGGGCTTTAATAAGGCCTTAAAGATGTCTGCAAGGCATTTGACTGAATGAAAAGATAATTATTTCCTAACGAGTTATGAAGATATTCATCCAATGGTCAAATGTTTAGGCATATACTTTCCTGCTTTCGTAGTATGAACACATTTCCAAAGAGATTTCAGTGTCAGTATATTTTCATATTTTTTTTAGAAGTAATGAACAAGACTACACACAAACACACGCAGGACACACACACACACATACACACACACAAATCCAGATAGATAGATAGATAGATGATAGATAGATAGATAGATAGATAGATAGATAGATAGATAGAAAGATTTTGGTGATTCTTTTCAGTGGGCTAGATTTTTCTGCTTGACTAACATCTCTCTCTATGGATCTCTTTGCTCAACTTAAAACTGTTTCCCTTTCTAGTGTTAGTGTTAGTTCACTGCATTGCTAGAGCTTGTGTTCACTGACTCTTTATTGTTGTTCTACTGGCATTGCTGAACCTTAGACACTCAATTACAATGTATTTGAAAAAAAATTCTTGGATAAATAAATATTTCTGAAAAGTATCTATCCCAGATCTTTATTCTTCTCCCATATATTTGAAATTCCCACTCAGAGACACTGCTAGGATGACAAAGTTTTCTTGAAATGGGAAATATTATTGATTCATTAAGACCTTGGTACCAATTAAAGCATATCTTTGAGAAAATGCACCCTTCTTGGATTGCATAAGTTATAGGAGAAGAAAAATGACAAATTAGGGCATTAGGTACTAGGAGAGGTGAATAGCACATTGAAGTGGGAGACTTGTGCACCTTGGGAACAGGGAAAGGATCAGGATTGTTGGTGAAAAGTAAAGAGAGAGAAAGGGTTGTCATAGGAGAGGAGAATTAAAAGTGATCTATATCAGTTACGTCAGGACCACGCCCTGACTAATGTTCACTTTAATCTAGAAAGCAAATAGCTGTGGTATTAATTTTAAGGAATCCCATCACAATCACTTTCACTTTTAATGGTACTGAGCAGAGTGCCAGGGTACTTCAGAGTAGAGAATTTGTGAAAAAAAAATTATCTTTGTTCATATTTTCCTTTTCAGTCCATTCTTTTAAGAAAACAGAAAAGGGTCTTTGATTGCCAAGACAGTTTATGTAAGGACCCAAAACTTACCTTATAGGCCATCTATCTAATCATATAATTAAAGATTGCTTTTTAAATTGAGAAAAAACTGAATCCATAGAACAAAGAGATGGGTGGGGGAGTAGAAAGTGGGTCTTATCTTCACTCTTAAGCAAAATAAACTTGTTTAAATAGTTTTAGATAATTTTTGTTGTTTGTATTGTAAAATAAAACAGAAAGAAAATACAATAAAATATGATGAACATTTTATGTTAATGTTATGATTTTTCCAAGTTCCTGCCCTATTCATTTTTAGCAATACTGGGACAAAAAAAGACACAAGGCAACAAAACCATCTGATATGATGCACATAATAATTATAATAAACCACATTATCAGCATAGTCATAAATAGGAGGAATTAAAATAATTTCCTTTTAATGGATACAAATAAAGTGTTATGCACTTAAAAATGATTTTATTTATTCCTTATAGCAACTATGTGGCCACAGAAATTGAGGCTAAAAACAGATGAAACCACTTACCCAAGTTTCCATTTTTAATAGGTGGAGGTGCTGGAGTTCAGCGTGAGGCTTATTATATTCCAATAACCTTGTACCTAACTCCTTCAGTACACTGTTCTCTTCACAAAAAATTATGGCTACATGAAAGTTTTTGAGGTAGTCTTTGATTTTTTCAACATAGACAGAGTCAAGTTAAACTAGTTGAAGAGCATCCACTTTTAGGATGTTATCTTCTTGAGATCACACAGGATTACTGAATACAATTAACATCTTAACAAATACAATAGATTTTCACAAGTAATGTGTAGTAGAATTAAGTGTGTGAGTCTTAAGCAAACCATTAGATATAACCACCTGTTTAAAACACTGTCTATACCTGTTAAATCACTGGATACCCCATTCCTTCGGTAAGCCTCTAAGCAATGAAGATTTAAAGGCATTGTATTCCTTCCAGATTTTCTCTGCCCCTGGACAATCTTAGTGAAGGGGAGGTGAATAGGTTTCTCAAGCTTGATTGTTGGACTTTCTTCCATGGATGTGCAACTTGGAAAGTTTTATTCGTTTTCACTATAAGAAAGTGCAAAAACACATTTTAAAATGAATCATGCAATGGAAGTGCATTTTAAAGAACTGGCATGCAAATAATAAAGCCATCGGTGACTTTCTCAACATAAACTTTTTTGAAAATTATAATGTAAGTATGCATGAAGCAATAATGAAATAAATTATGACAGCACTGAAAAATATTATGATGTAGAGCACATGCAAAGAAGCCTTTTTTCAGGGGTAGAAACCAGCTCATTCTGGTTACACGTGTACTTAAAGATTGTTGTTACTGGCAGAGAGCTAACATCATTTCCCTGATGCCTTATAAACAATGCTACAGAAAAAAAAGTAAAAGTACTTTGAGTTCATTGGAGCTCAGTGAAGGGGCTGGGCAAAGCAGACACTGTGAGGTTTTAACTGGAATATTTTCCCTATCATTAGAACCAAGTTTTCTTTCTTCTTCTCACCTCCATAACAATGAAAGTGGCCCCAGACCTCTACTATTTACCATTGTCCCCACCAAACACCAAAGAAAAGGAAAGTCAACACCACGGCAGAAGTAAAAAGCTCTGGAAAGGAGGGAACCTGTGTAAAAATTTATCAGAAAAAAAAATCCAATTAAGAAAAAATGCCCACCCAGGGGAGAAAGTTAAGGTTACTGAAAAATAAGAAATTAAAAAAAAAAATCCTCAAAGAACTAAACGTTGGTGCTTAAAAAGAGATAGAGAAAAACCAAGATATAAATGAAGATACATTTCAGGAGACAAGTGCCCAGAAATCATCCAGGGACCAGCCAATTCACAGTCAGAAATTACACAAAGCTTGAGAATCTGAGTCAATGGTGAAATTGACTCAGTGGTTTTAGGTCATAATCAATTAATAGTGAACAAATGCCTTCTTTTCCATTGAATATCAAGTTTTTGTTCAGAAGCTGAAATCTAATAAAAACTGCATTTAGTTATTATTATTTCAAAGTAAATACATTCTTTTTTGTCTACCTTCTGTTTCCACTGTGTTTGAGATGCAGCATAGATGATGCCAAGAACTGAATGAGCTGCAACAGAGCATAAGAACCCAGAACACATTAAGTGCAGGCCAATCAGACTACAGGCTTCTTGTCTCTTACCTGAGCCCTATTCTTCATCCCCTTGCTAACCTGTTTGCTCAAAAAGCTGGGGCTAGAGAAGAACCTTCCAGGGTGGAAGAGATTAGAATAGATGAAAACAAGGTAACAGCTTGAGATGAAAGGACAAACAAAAAAGACTGTTTTATGGCCACTTTTTTATTAGTAGGTAATTGTGACTAAAGTGAACTATTTAAAAGCATATTTGAACATATTATCATATATTAAGGTAATTTATGGAATTCAATTCAAGGAAAGTGTTAAAATTATAAAGTATCAAAGCTGCCTACACTGCATATCAGTCACTCCTGCGTTGTTACCTTACAAATCCTGTTTTGCCCACTAGATTTTGGCAAATCATGTAATTTTTCAGTGTGGGTTCTATATACATATTTTTTTGAGACATAGTCTCACTCTGTTGCCCAGGCTGGAGTTCAGTAGTGCAATCATAGTTCACTAGAACCTCAAACTCCTGAGCGCAAGTGATCCTCCTGCCTCATGCTTCCAAGAGTATCTGGGAACACAGGTGCATGCCATTACAGGCGACTAACTTAAAGATTTTTTTCATAAAGGAGAGCATCATGTTATGGCTCAGGCTGTTCTTGAGCTCCTGGCCTCAAGCAATGTTTCATCTTGGCCTGGCAAAGTGCTCAGATTATAGGCATGAGCCACTGGGCCTGGTCTATACAGTTTTATAGTGATATAAAGCATGACTCTAGGAAAACTCAGATTTTTTTTTTTTTTGAGATGGAATTTCACTCTGTCACCCAGGCTGGAGTGCAGTGGCACAATCTTGGCTCACCATAACCTCTTTCTCCCAGGTTGAAGTTATTCTTCTTCCTCAACCTCCTGAGTAGCTGGGATTACAGGTGTGTGCCACCATGCCTGGTTAATTTTTGCATTTTTAGTAGAGATGGGGTTTTATCATGTTGACCAGGCTGGTATCAACCTTCTGTCCTCAAGTGATCTACCTGCCTTGGCCTCCCAAAGTGCTGGGATTACAGATGTGAGCCACCATGCCCGGCCAAACTCAGATATTTCTGAAATGTTACTACTTAGAGGTTGTTGTGTAATTCTTATCTCCTGGAGGGTGGTTACTCCACTATCCAGTTAACAGTAACCAAATTTATGACCAAATAGTTTAAGAAGACAATAGGTAAATATGTGATTGAGTACAGGTTAGGCTGGATTTAGAGGGATGTGGCATCAGCAGAACCCTGCTTCTCCAATTATTTGACCTGGCCCTTGTTTGTCCACATTGATGTATACAGTTCTCATGTATCCTTCTGCTCCCTCCTGTCTTCCCTAGGCTTCTATGCTGATACTTCTCTATTTATTTCCCTTCAGGCACTGTCTCATGTTCTGAAACTATGTGGGCTTCTGGAATCTACTGACATCAACTCCTATTAAACTCTTTACTCAAACTTCCTTAACTCATAAGAGGAATTTTTGCTGTTGTGACTGTGTTATTCAAGTTGAAGAAGTGGTAAAGACCTTGCTCTTAGACATGAGGTTTTCTCCAGATTTTTTATTTAAAACTTGTGTGGGCCCTAAGCTTTTGAGACTCAAAAGCAAGGGAGAGTCTTCCTTTAGTGTTCATTCCTTTGTTACACACACATGCAGAGGCAGTAAAAACACAAATTGCTCTGCATCCAAATGTGAACAAAGTGTATAGGAAAAATATTGGTTAACCTTTCACAAATATTATTCTGTCATTTGGTATATTTAGCTAATGCCAGGGCATGTTTTAATTTCTCTAAATTTAATTTCATATCCCCAAGTGCTCTGCAGCTCCCCTGGTAACCCTCACTCAGCTTAACACCATCCTTAAGGACTGCACACCATATTTGCCCTTGTAGTAATAGAAGATAAGCACAGAAAAGAAACAGAAATTAGTTTTTGCACATTAACATCTTACCTCTTCTGGATCCTGACATTTCTTTCCCTTCAAGTCTGGAACTCTCTTGTCGGGTAAAACAAAAGAAAACAGAACAAAGCAAAACCCACACACACAAATAAACAGGCAATTTGATTAACATAACAGGTTTATGGGTACAGATGAGTTAAAATGGGGTGGTCCTTGTCTTCTGGGAAAATATAAGTGCATTGTCTGGCGTCATGTTCATCCCTAACATGGTAACAATTGAAAGCCATTTCTGTAGGTTTTGAGGCATTCCAGGAGCCCATTAGTACAGAAATCCTGTCAGCCACCTGTACTCTCTGTGTAACACTGGATTGGGGCCTGAGCCAGATTGCTGTTCTCCTGAGAGTCCACTCTAAAGCTCACACTTTTTCTACTTCAGGAGGCTAATAAGTATTATGTCTAGAAAACATACAATGTGAAATTGGCCATGAATCTTAAATTAAAATAATTAAACACACCACACAGAACAACCTGTTTATGGTTCTATTGCTTGAATGCAATTCCCATTTTCTGTAATAATTCATTACTGTCTTAAAAGCTAGGGCTTCAGCTATTCCCTAGTAAATGCATATTATCCACCATAGCAGTAATGATGAATTAATCAAATAAATCTCTCTAAGAACATAGAAACTATACATATACTAGAGGAAAGAAAGGAGAAACTATTGATTGCTATTAGAACACTCTTATAGAATCTGTTAATAGCTCGTTAATCTGCTTTTGAATTCAGAGTTTGCATTTGAAATTTTGAGGGAGGTGAGCAGTGCAGTGATACTTTCAGAATGTCCTATCTCTACATCTATTGTCTCTTCTTGAGTCTTGAATGAGCTACATTTGTCCAATGATAGCATAGGGCTAATATGGTATGATGCAGATTCCTAATACTGAAGGGTTTTTTCTGTTAATGAACTAGTTTTCACTTCCACTTCCATGGTAGAATTGGTGGAACTAGTTAGGAAAAGAACAGTAATACTTAAAGCATTTGTTCTAATTTAAATGAAAAGTAGATACTTAAAAGGAACTAAAGCATCCCATAAACTGAGCAAGAGAGAAGAACTTTCACTGATAAGCACCCTGAATCCCATGGAAGAATCTATTGGAGAAAATATTTTAGTTCATTATTAACGATTTCATTAAAATATTTAAATGAAATGTACTGAATGTGCTTACAAAGACACTGCACTTCAAATGCAGTATGTTTGTCTAAAAGTAAGCACTTTTAACAAATGACATTTATGTGTCACATTTTTTTCCTGTTAAATTTTTATTGAAACCTGGAAAGATTGAATTATGCTCCTGAACAATTTTAAGTTTACTTCTTTGGGAAGGGGTTTTAAAAAAGGAAGAAAAACTAGAAAATTCACCTTTTAAACTTAAAGAGGAATTTGTCAAGAACATTAATGCCATCTATCAGTTCTCTGTGGAAGATTCACAAGACTATTTGCTATGAATGACTGATTTCATAGCATTACACATTCCATCCAATTGCTTTTATGTTAAAACGTGTCATATAATAATAAAGAAGCACATATCTTATGATGTTTTGTGTATTTCTTACTGTTATTGTTTATTATTCAAAGGAGAGAAATTTGGCATTGACTTCACACAGGCTAAGCTGAATTCTGTGTTAGAACTGACCTTTATGTTTGTGGACTATAGGCTCTGCTCGTCATTGTGCGGGTATTGTGAAAGATGACTTCAGCCATGGATATACAATGTAAACCACTGATCTTATTTGAGGAGATAGCTTTAAAATGTATCGATAACAACAACAACGAAATCTTACAGAAGTTACTTTATCTATCTGGTACTCAATTTTCACTTTTGCAAAATGTGACGGTATCTAAAGATCCCTCTGTTCCTAATGTTATTTGATTCGGTATGTTTATGAAATATAAATATGTCTCTACTCAATTTTGCAAAATAACAAACTATTATACTTTCGGTAGAAGAAACACCATTCTTATATTGTTA